GGTTTCCCGGTCTGGATTCCAGATATACTCCTGTAGTTGACCTAATTTTCTCCTCCGATGTAGAAATTGTGAGGGAGTTCGGCAAGCATGTTGGGTTTGGGAAAGTGGTAGTGTAGCTATCGCCCTGACTCCGGGTCGTTCTCAAGCTCGTTCATATGAATAGTTTCACAATTAACTCATTCATTATGAAGACGATTTATTTATTATAGCTGAGCTCAAGCAACGGCGGGATTTTCAATTTTAGACACTTTTAAAAATTAAAATGTAATCTGAAAATAATTCATAATTTTTAAATTTTTACATGAGAATTTAAAAAAATTATGTAAAATATTTTTATTATTTGAATTTTTTAAGAAATATTTCTTTTAATAAACTAATAATTTTTTTATTTAAAGAAAATTATTTTTGTAGTCCCAAAAGAAATTATTGTAACGTCCTGCGTTATTTTATTAGATTTTATGTTTTTTTTCCTTTTAATTTTTTGTAAATTTTGTATGGAAAACATTTGTTTTATCTAAACTAGGTCTGTTTTATTTCTATTTTTTTAAAAATAGTATCTCACACGTCGAATTAGTGAATCCTAAATAATTTTAAATAATTCTTCAAAATATTTCTTTAATTTTTAGTTAAGTTTTAATATTAATGTTTGTAATTTCAAATTAATTTATTATTTATAATTATATATTAAAATTCCTAAAAAAATAAAATTAATTAAATCTTAATCAACAATTTAGATTAATATTGAAATTTTAAACATTATTATGAAAATAATTAATCATTTAGACTATAAGTAACAGAAATTTTATATGTAATAAAAAGTTTTTTTAACTATTGTCATTTAATTATATATAATTAATTTTATTTTACTTTCTTTTATATATATATATATATATATATATATATATAAAAGAGTGTGTGTGTAATTGAATGCGTAAATTTTCAATATTATGTAATTAAATAATCATAAAATCATGTATTTCATAAATAATTTTAAGAATTTTTGTAATTTTGAAAATTCGTTTAAAAAGTGAATCTTGGCTCCATCTTTTAAAAAAAGTGTAAACTATAGTTCCCCACTTTTTTAAAACACCCTAATCTTAAAGATACGCCCACGCAAAGTCATCCCTTGCAAGGCTGGGCCTGAAAGATCCAATGACATCTTTCTTTTAGATAAGTTCTTCTATTTTGTTTCGTAAAAAATCCAATCACTGATCTTTTAAACTTCCCACTCTATAAAATATTCGTTCCCAAATTTCCACACAAATAAAAAATTTAAGTAGGGATAATAATATAAAAACTGAAGATTTGAATTAAAAAGTCAGTCAAAAATTCTCAATTCTCAGTTCTAAGTTCAGTTTAGTCAAAATTCTAAGTTCTAAGTTCAATCAGTTCAATTCTTAATTCTCAATTCTCGGTAGTCAGTTCAATCTTTTTTTTTGTTATACTTCTAATTCCGAAGGACGTGGTGCGATTAAGTTGCGCATTTTAGTTCCTTCAATCCTTAAAAAAAGATTTGATCGTTATTTTTTTTATTAAACACCTTCCGAAAAGATTTGGGTGTATTTAGTGCATTATTATCTTTTCAATCCTTTTAAATTCTCTTTCAAATAAAACAAACCAATTTGAAAGATTCCTGAATTGTGGACAATGAGTCTAGACTCAAAAGTAAATTAAAATTAAATAACTATGTTGCGTTGTCGGACGTAACATTATTTTATAAAATATTTAGGAAATCCTTGAAATATTTTTAAACCACAAAAAAACCGCAAAACAATAACAATATACAGAAAGTGTATTTTTTAAAATTGAAAGTGGCGGATCCAATATGGGCAGGAAAATTAAAAATCAATAAAATTTACTTAAAATTTGTTACTCAAGGATTTTTGGGGCACGTGGTTCACTCTGGAGTTGTAGATAACTGTTCAACTATTTACTAGCTAACTGCGGGGATGAAATATAATAGTTATTTTTCATATTTAATATTTACAATATTGATTTCCACTATATTTCATCCACTGTTTTTTATTCCTTAAATCAAAATTTGAATTTAGATGACTCTGAACACCTCTGAGTAATAAATTTTAACCCCTTCACTGTTAGAGAAAAAATTGATATTGTGGTCCCAAAATATCCAACAAATTCGGGTCGACAAATTTTTATGAAACTTAGTATATAAGAGTTTTTGGAGTCCCTTACTATACTATACATTTAATACGTTAATTATTTAATAATGATAGCTTACTAACCCCATAATATTATATAAATCAAGTAAAAAATCATTAATTTATACTTCTCAATAGCAAATTTTCCAATATTTTAATTATTTTTTGCAATATATTGTCTCAAACCCAACCGAACCGAAACTTGACCGAGCACAGTCAACTTCTTGGTTTTCACAATTCGACCCTGCTGTACCAGAATAGTCCTTAAATTATTACTTCAAAAATGTTATGATCGATTTAAAAAAAGTATAATTAATTTGTTAATGCAATTAACTTGAAAATTAATAAATATTTTTAATTAACATTTGGTACGGTTATTTTGGGCCCTTACCACTATCCAAAAACATTTAAAACTCCTTCTAATTATATTTTCGAAAAAATTTATCCAGTTTTATCTTTTTGCTTTCGACAAGTAATTGACGCTGTATACAACATACCGTAAAATAGGTGTTTTTTTATTATCGACAAAGGTTTCATCTTACCATGTTTTTAAAATCATAATAATTCTTGTACAGTTTTCCAACTCTCATATTTATTAACACATATTTTTAACTTTTTGTACAATTATTTTTTTTCAATATTGTAAAATGACGGATATGTGACAGATATATTGCGGCAGGTTTGCACAGGAATTCGTCAGTTGTTGGACGTTCTTATTGTTGGTATTTATCCTGAACCAATCACTAAAATTTTTTTCCTTTTCTAGACCTATAATTCGTAAACAAACAAAAAAAATTAATAAAAAAAAAACTTTTAAAATTATATTTTTGTAAAAAATAATTATTTTTTTACTTTTTTTACGAATTACGCAATAGAAAAAGGGATTATTTACATAGTTTAAAAAAATTAATCTCTCCGACATGGAGTTATGAAATTGTGTTTAAAATTTCAATGCAATCAATTCCTGGAGTAAAAAAATTTAAACTTTGAATTTAGTTTTAAATAATTATAAATTTCTTCATTAATCGAGACACGTAAGAGAGCTGTTTACAAGAGTGAATCGCAGCTTCCGTTTGATGTTTCTTTTTTCTTATAACTTGAACTGTTATTAAAAATTATAATTTTTGAAATTATACTATGTATTTTGACTTACAAACAGGGATGTAAAGGATCTTAAGTAAATTATGTGGAGTTTTTTACGTAAATTACGAACGCTATAATCCCGTGTTTTTTTATAAAACAAAATATTTTTTTAATTGCATGCACAAATAATTTCAAAAAATTATTGTCCACGTTCTTTCAATTTTATTTTAAACAAATTAATTAAAAAACTTTTTTTCTAAAATAAACAAAAGAATTATCAATTGAATACAAGATTTAATATTATTATTTATTCTCTAAATTAAAAACAATATATTATTTTAAAACTTTTTAACAAATATTTAAAGAACCTTTTTGAATTAATTTACAATATTAATTTATTCACAATACAAGTCTAAATAAGTAAATTCATTAAATATTAAATAATTTAGCAATTTAATGTTTTTTTTTAAGTCAATTATTTTCATATTCAAATATTTCGTGAATTCAATTATATTGATTTAGAGATTTTTCGTCTGTTATAGATAATCTTTTTCGATTATATTATCTATTTCTGTTTAATTCCAATTCTCTACTTTTTTAAATTTCTTACATAGGAAAAATTTATTTTTAAAAAACAGCTTCTGAACACTTTTAATTTTAAATAAAATTTTTTACCAATTTTGCTCATCGCGATATCAGAATCGCTGTACTGCAGTTTTTTTATTTTGTTTTTTTTATCAAGCAAAAAAAATAGTTTACATTACAGAATAATTTAATTTAATAACAAATGGAGTTTTAAAAATAATTGAATTTGAAAAATAATTTGGAATTTAAAAAAAATGAATTTCTGCACAAAATAGCACAAGTCGAGCACCATTTAGTACAATATTTCTTTTTTTTGAAAATTTTAAACTGAGATGACTAAAATCAGTTTCTGATGTTTTTGTCTGGAATTTTGAGTTTTTCAAAAAATGAATTTCTACAAAAGAGAGGACAAATCGAGCATAATTTAGCACAATAATTTTTTTTGAAAACTAACTTTTTAGATTTATAAAATTTTTTAGGTTTTTTAGCCCGGAATTTTGAGATTTTCCAAAAATGAATTTTAGCACAAATGAGTACAAGTCGAGGACATTGCAGTACAATATTTGTTTTTTAAAATTTTAACTTTACTTGTCTATCTTCCTCGACATTTAAAATTCTGTTATTCATGAAAGGTTATATTTACCTTTATAGTGGTTTGTCAAAGTTTATTACATTTATTATAAGTTTTTTTTACGTATTATTCATAAAAATACAGAGTTACGGGTAACTCTACATCCCTGCTTACAAAGTACTTTATAATAAAGATTTCAGTTAATACTTTTTGAAAAAAAATTCACTTTTTCATGTAAAAAAAATATATAGTTTTTGGCGCAACTGAGGCGCTATTTTCCTAAAAGCAAAAGAAGTGTATGCTTCATTTTAAACAAACGTCCAAATTTATATATATAAATTTATTTCACCTTGAAATAAAAAAAATGTCATTTTCGATATCGTTTTGCACATTGAAATAATCGCGTTACAATAAACTAAAATAATTCCCAAAAACATTTTTCTTTTATTACTATAATCAAAAACATAACGAAAACTTATATACTAGCCCAATTTATACGATTTTTTAATATTATATATATATATATATATATATATATATATATATATATATATATATATATATATAAATTGTCTATAAAACTTAAGAAAAAGACGAAATTAGATCAAAATCGTTTATATAATATTTGTCGCTAATTTTTTTATACAGAGACAAAAAAGAGATCATTGCACAAAATATAACTACAAATGCAAGAATTCCTTTTTTTCAAATATTTCACTTTCTGAAAATTGTAAATTGTTGATTTTTGTTTAGCTAAAGCCAAGATGGCCTGTGATGATGTGGTGGTTGTTGAAGAGCATAAAAAGAATGTAAATACTGCTGAAACGGATCGACACCAAGATTTGGACCATGTGGTGTAACGTAAGTTGGTACTGATGGACCATAAGGGGCAGTACGCTGCGTATGAAGAAAAGGATGTGTGGAGTAATTCCTTGGATGTTGAGTACTTAATTTGTTACATGACTGTTGGCCTGAATCGGTTACAGGAGGTGTTGGCTGTGGTTGTTGTTGCTGTTGTTGTTGTTGCTGCTGCTGCTGTTGCTGTTGCTGCTGTTGTTGTTGTCTAAAAGCCATACTGTAATAGCTATTAGGATTACGAAATTCATCAAGAAAAACATAAGCAGCGGCAGCTGCCGATGAATCCTTATCATAGAATGGCGAACTATTTGACGCTCCTGTTGTTGATGCAAAATTAAATGCACTTCCCCCGGGTGTGACAGGATTTTTCAATCCAATTGGATCTGGATTTCCTGAATATTGTGCAAAACTACTTCCTTGTTGTTCCAGTGCAGTAGCAGCGGCAGCGGCTGCGACGGCAGCTTTACTCTTTCGACCTTTCTTACTTTTTACCGTTGGCGCAACAGTCGTCGTCGCTGTGGTTGTTGGGTCTCGAGAACGTGAAATTGGTAGCATTCCCTGTGTATTTTTCGCGACATTTTGAAGACTTTGCAAAAGGCTCAGATCTGAATTCCCCGAACCACGATAAGAAATAGTTTCGGGTTTCGTTGGTGGCCGAGGAATTGTAAGTAGTTGTTGTTGTTCTTTTGTTGCTCGACCAATTAATCCAAGTCCTAATCTTGAATATGGGGCTGATTCCAAACTACTGTAAGTGGAATCAAATTGACTTGCGGCTTGAGTTTCAGATTCAGCGGGGAAAGGCATCATAATGTCAAAGGCAAATTGCTCTTGACTTGGTCGTGTTTCTTGAGGAAGACGATTAGAATCGTTTGACGTTGTCAAATCACTGTATGTTCTTTTCTTATTTGTTAAATTATTGTTGGCAACTGTACTTTTTACAAGATTTGATTCGAAATAATGACTCCCTGGATATAGGGTTCTACATGAAGTATTTGATATTGGAAAAGATGATTGAAAACTAGTTTGATAAACTTCATGTGATAAATTCTGTTGAAAATTCAAAAGTTGTGATTGTTCCTGGGGTTGTGGGACACGTTGTTGTTGCTCCTGATTTCTGATTTGAATTTCCGCTTGTCCGGCTATTCTCTCATTGAAACTATTCTCATAAGTTGGGAATTGATTTGGCTGAAAGTTTTGATTCAATCCTGTATCTTGAGTGGTAAATGTTCTTTGCTCGGGAACTTTTTCTTCTTTATGGAAATCTAATCTTCTATTATTATCAGGCAGAGTATTGGATCCAGTGGCAGAAGTTTCCAAATAAGGTTGTTTATAGTTAGGCGGATATGTATTTGATGTACGGCTATAATTTTGATCAACGTCTTTCGCCGCTTCAAAAGTCGTACTTTGTTGTTGTTGTTGTTGTTGTTGTTGCTGTTGTTGAGATACTTGTGGAAAATGTGGACTTTGCACTGTCTGTGGCGAGGGATAGGAATAATTACTTTGATGATTGGGCGACTGTTGAGAATAATTGCTTGATGTTTGCTTAGGTTGTTGAACGTAAGATGGTGGCAATTGCTGAGATGATGTTTGAGAATAAGTCGCAGGTTGAGTTGGTTGTGAGTAATTTGTTGCCAGTTGGGGAGAATCTTTCGAGTTTTTAAAACTTTGTTGAGGCGATGTTTGAGAATAATTTTGAGACTGTGGAGACGGTTGAGAATAAGAAGTCGGTGCCTGTGGTGAAAGTTGTTGATAGTTTGGTGGAAGCTGTGGAGAAGGTTTGGAATAACTGACAGGAGGCGGTTGAGGAGACAATTGAGAATAATTTTGATTTTGAGGTGTTGAAGGTTGAGAATAAGGAGACAATTGATGCTGAGGTGATGGTTGAGAAAAGTTTTGTATTGATTGTGGTGACGGTTGCGAATAAGGTGAATTTGGTTGCTGTGGCGATGGTTGTGAGTAATTGATTGATTGAGGAGACGGTTGAGAATAATTATTATTGCTTTGTTGAGGAGAAGGTTGCGAATAAATCGGTGTTGGTGGTTGTTGAGGTGAAGGTTGAGAATAAATTGGTGTTTGTTGAGGTGAAGGTTGTGAGTAAATTGGAGTTGGCGGTTGTTGAGGAGAAGGTTGTGAATAATTTGAAGAAGGAGCTTGCGGCGAAGGTTGTGGATAAGGAGAGTGTATAGGTTGAGGCGATTGTTGAGGATAAACAGGAGATTGATTTTGAGGGAATGGCGTATTCTGAGGAGAATTTTGAGAAAATGACTGTTGAGGAGATGATTGTGGAAATGAAGGCGAGAACGATTCGTTTGGACTTGCTTGTGGAGATGTTTTTTGATAGTTTGTGTGATTATTTTTCGAATAGAGAGATGATTGTTCGAAGGTGACAGGAGAAGGATAAACTGGAGATAAAGTATGATTTTGAGGTGATGGAGTGGGAGGAAGTTGAGCACTGTACCGAGGTGGAGTAGCGTAATACGGACTGTTGTAAGGACTAGTACCAGTATTTAAAGCATCTTGATAAAATCCAGCACCGCGAATTGGTGGTTCGGTTGACGGTATTAAGACTTGTGTATTTTGAGGTGAATGAACTGAACGTGCAGGTGGTGATTCTTGAGAGAAACTTGAAATAGATTCACTAACGCTACTACCACCGGTACTCATTCTTCTTTGTCTTACGCCAACTTCTGGTAATTCGCTGTCTTTTTTAAAATTGCTTTGCGACTCTTCAACATCTTCATCCTTTCTTTTGGACTTTGGAGCACCAAACGCTTTAAACCACGCACTCAAATTAGGTGTTGAAGACTTCAGTTTTTGAGGATCATTAGGTAATGGTAAATTTTCTTTAACAGTTTCAGAGGATGATGGAGTTTCAACGATTTCATTTGTTACTAATTGTTGATCCTCTTTTGTGGCAAAAGATGTTGAAGAACCATTGTCTATGTCTTCGTCTTCATTAGATAAATTCGGATTGGGAGAACAAACTAAATTCTTACAAAATGACTGAATAGAATCAGTGTTTTTGAGAACTGATCCAAGACTTAATTTTGGTTCATCATCGGAGTCACGTTTCGGTTTTACAATATCAACTGTTGTATTATTTACAACTCCGTCTTTATCTGTTGGATTTCCACTTGGCAAGTTACGAGGTTTTTTTAATAATAAATTTCCTTTACTTTTACCTGGTTGCAATCGGTCAATTGTTCTTTGTATCTTTTTCTGCCTGATTTGAGAATGAGATCCAAAAATTTTCATTGACTGTCCTCGCTTCCGAGATGTATCTTGTTTGACAGCTGATCGACTAGCATCGCTTGTTGAAGGAAGAAGTACAGGTGATTCGCTGCCTGAAGAAAATTCAGATAAACGTGGAGCATCATCCAACCATTTGTTAATATCCTGAAAATAACATTTTTTATTAATCAATCGGTGTAAATAATAAATATGAAGAAACGTATTGTTATTAAAAGAATAATTAGTTTGAAGAATTTTATCAACTGACAAATAAATATAATCAAATATAATTTAAAAGCTGGACACATTAAAAATTCTAGAAAAGAAAAAAACTGTCTAAATTTGATAAATTTTAAACTTACATTAAGCGTTTGTTCTGTTGCTTGATTCAAAGCTTGAATTGCTGGAGTCTCCTCTTTCTGTTTAGAATGTTTCGTTTGTACAACTTTCAGTTTCTTTTTCTTATTCATTTCTGAATGATGAGTTTTTGTGTTGGCTATTAATAATTTTTCATCTTTAACAACTTTCCTTGGTTTACCATTTTTTGAATTAACTTTATTACTATTCTGAAACACATTACTACTAGAAGGCACTTTTTTTCCAGACAAGATAAATCCATCAGACTTTGATTTCTTTTCTTTTTTGCGATCCAATTTAAATTTTTCCTCCCTCCGCCTTTCGCTGATTTTGTCTTTAAGACTATCCAAAGACTCCAAATCCTTATTATTTACCAGGGACGCAAGTTTCATAGAAATAGCATCTGCTTTCTCAACGTCTTTCAAATGTTCAACTTTCGATGATTCTGAATTATTTTCCAAATCGACATTTTTCGATCGTTCGTTACCTGTTTTCTTCTTCTTTTTTATGTTTTTATCTTTGGTTTTATTTTTTACTTCATGTTTTTTAAGGTTACAATTAACTTCTTTCTTATCTTTTTTGTAACTTTTATTTTCTTTCAGTGAACTCTTTTTTAAATTTTGTATCATTTTATTTTTTTCCTGAGATCTATCATGTTTTTGTTTGATTTTCTTCATTCTTGTTATTAATGACTCAGAATCTTTAATATCTTGATTTTCAATTTTTCTAATCTTATTTTTAGAACAATCAACATCACAGTCTTCTTCAAAATTTTCCTTTCTTTTTCTATTAGCCTTTAAATTTTTTGATAAATTAATTATATCTTTGGCATGTTTTTCTTGCCGATGCTCTCTTACATTTTTTTTACTATTTTTTATCTCATCTTCAATTTTCTCATCTTCAGATGATGATTTTATATTTTTTGCAACTGACCTATTTACATCAACACATTTTTTTCTTTTAGACTTTATCAAATTGCTGACAGAAATTGCACCATCACTCACATTCGTTTTTACATTTTCTTTTTTTTCTTCTTTTTCTTCTTCTTCCTCTTCATCATCGTCATGGTCTTCAACTTTTATTTTCTTTTTTAATTTCTTTGATTTCTTTTTAACCTTTTTACTCTTTACTGTATCTGAATCAGATTCATCTTTTAAAGAATCTTCTTTATAATTTTTTTGATTCACTCTTTTACTAAATTTACTTGACTTAGATTTCTTACTGGATTTTCGAAATCGTTTACGTTGATTGTGTTCAGGTGAAGATAATGAAAAAACCCGTTGCGTATTAACTGTTGATGTAGATACATGTTTTACATTCGACGATGAATCATCCTCACTCGATATTTCTGAATCGAGATATCGACTAATTGCTCGATCAAACACTTCTTTAAGGTTAATTGCCATTTCTGTATACTCTGCAAAACAAAATAAATATTTTTATTTTAAAATTAAGTTTTAACATTTGTAGAAAAAACAAAACTTTAAAAAAATAAATGATTCTCTAAAAACTGGTAATTTTCCAGGGAAATTTCTTTTTTTTCAAAGTAACTGGAAATTCGATTTCTTTTATTAATTTCTATTTATTATTTTATTTTAACAAAATACAGGTGTCAGATTATACCATAAATAAGATAAAAAAAAATTCTTACCATTTTCAGATCCATTATATTGTCTACAGTTATCAACAATAAGGCAAAAATCTTTTTTAAATTGTCGTTGATTTTTATAACAACCATTTTCAAGTTTCTCTTCCATTTTACTCAGATCCATTGGTCGTCGAACAACGCTGTAATATCTATAAATGAACAAATGTAAATTAATTCTGGTCACTATTTATTACAGAAGAATTTTATAAAAATTAAAATTTTTTAAGTTCATTTTACAATATTTCAGTCAAAATCATTTTTTTAATTTTGATATTTTGTTGGAATAATTTTAACTAAATATTTTTAATTTTCTAAGTTTTATCTTTCAATTTATGAAAAAATTGTCCGCTCGAGGAACATGAACAGCTATCAGAAATTTATCGTGTACAATTGTTAAATCAATTCAAAAACAGAAAGAACGATAGTAAAAATTATTTTTTTTGTTTAAAACTGAAATAATTAAACAAATAATTTATTTGAAAGTGGTTATAAAAGAAAAAGATAACCTTGGAGCATATTCCTCGTCAACAGGATCAACAAAAGGCCAAGCTTCATCATGATCTTTGACACTTTCAAGAACTTTATGCATTCCCACTCGACGTTCCTCTTCCTCTATTCCAAACGAAATGTTATTATACCCTATAGAAGAGTAATTATCGGAGGATCTAGTGTTACCTTTTTTATTTACTAAATCTAGTGATTCGTCTCTTGTATCAATAAGAATTTGTCCAACCGCAGAGGCCAGAGAATTATTTGTTTGTCTACCCTTTTTTTGAATTGGTTGAGAAACTGGCAGAGGTACATTTTCTTCAATGTTAGCATTTTTCAAATTATAAATTTTACTCTTTTTAGATTCTTTTTCTATTTTCGACTTAACTTTCATTTTACTCATTGTTGGTTGAATAGCAGATTTAGATTGGGGATTTGGTTCAAGTTCAAGATTATGATCAGGTTCGTGACTTCGAAGAGATCGAGAGTTGTTACGTTGTAAAAGTTTATGTCTTTGTTGCTTTTCTTTTAGATCAAAAAGTTTTGGAATCTCTGGCATAAAGTCTTCAGATAATGTTCGAAACAACTTTCTCTCTGTATCGTATTCCTATAAATATTTTCTAGTATAAATCATATATCAAAGACAATTGTAGATATCAAATAACATATTCCAAATGAAAAATAATTCTAACACATTTTTTAAGATTTCGCAATAAAAAAATGTAAATTGTAATAAATATTCTGGAGTACTTACAGAATTTTTTAATTTATCGACAAGTCGGCTCCAATCTTGTTGTGTGAAACAAACTACTTGCCAAATACTTTTTTTCTTCACGTGTTCTCTTTCTTCGAAGTTTAAGCAAATTTCCTCCTCCGTCTCCTCTTCCTTCTCTTCCTCCTTAACCACTCTGTTTTGTCGTCTTTTACGCTTTTTATCTTTTGACCTACCACTCGATTTCTGAATAGGTGAATTGATATTATTGACGTAATCCTCCCTGTACAATCTAGTGCCGTAGAAATACCAATAGGCAGAATTCTTACGATCATGACCTAAGGGTTCCACTCGCAAACTATTAGCATCCAAGTTACTCAAAGATTGTTCCTATAATAATTAAAGAAATTCTTAATAATCAATTTTAGTTTAATGGCATTTTATAGGACAAATTAAAAGATATTAACGAACATCTTTAACGTTTCGGAATCGGTATAATTAAGAAATTCTTAATTTAAATCTTTAATCTTTAAATGTGAAGAATTTAAACATGAACATCAACGTTATATTCGACAAATTTTCACAGTACGCAACATAATAAAATATAAGATTTATAGAGAAAAGTTTATGATAACATACTACGTTTTCAGTATCGAGCCTGAAGTCACAAAGTGCTCGAAGTATCTCAACCTTTTGACGAAGTGGTAACAGTTCAAAATCTACGTCTGTATTAAAAGGATTCTCGTACTTGTATTCCTGTAAAATAATAATAATAATTTAAGTTCAAAAGTACATTCACATTATATAATGGTAAATTTCTACGTAATTGGTAAATTTCAAGACAAGTTTTCTTAAAAGACAAAACCAATTTTTAAAATGATTTTAAAATAAAATTCATTCCTTCTTAATTAAAAATGTACAAGAATTATTCCCCTCTGGTAATAATACCTAATAGAAATTGATGAAAAACCACAAAGTGATATGACACAATTTTTTTAAATAAAAAGTAAAATATTTATTATGAAAATAAAGTCCATAGTCTGGTTCGAATTGCGAATCTAGTTGGACAGAATTCAAAATTTTTGGATCTTCCAAAAATATAATGCATGGGACAATTTTATGGTTTTCGCATGAATGATAGTGAAACCATAGCCATACAAATTAAAAAGCTTGAAAGTATTTGTAAGAAATTAGATGATGCTGGAGAAAGCCTACAGAAACTGTAATTATTTCTAAATTTTTGAGCAGCTTGTCAAACATTTTCTCTATTTAGGTTAACATAAGACTGTATGCCAGAGGCAGATAGAAATTAAGAAAGATAATAAGATAATAACCGGTTAATGTACAATCGCCACGTGGGACTAGATATTTTGTGTTGTTTAAATATAAATGCAACCGAGTGATAAATTCAATTATTTGTATAAACTCAGTTATTTATTTCTAAATGCACAAGTTTTAGAAAAAAATATTTTCTGTGTCAAGATCGGAGGTTTTTAGTAAATCCAAAGATTTTGAAGTCTTTGTATTAACGCAAGTAAATACGAAAATAAAAATGCTTAAATCGGATAATATCAGAGAGTACATTTCTTCTGGTTTTTCTAACTACACTACAGTCGGAAATTGTGCAACCTCTACTTTTTCGTTAATTATAAAACGGTTTAAATCTTTAAAAATATTGAAACTAAAATTTTTTCCTTTTTATTTTATAAAAGCTAATAAAATTCTAAAAGAAATGACACCTAGATAAAGAGAATATGTTAATTTTTCAATTATATATCTAAGAAAAACCCAGTTTTTAATGTTTTTACTATTTTTTTACTTCTCCGTCAAAAATTAATATTTTTCAACGTTCTTGTTTTCATTAGAATGGTATTTGGCTAAAAAAAAGTCAAAAAAATTAAAATTCATGTTTAGAACAAAATATCATATTTAAAAATCAAGTAAATAAAACATCTTAAACTTCTCTGATTTATGTAAGTAAATTTAAGATTTATACATTTTGCTTATCATTTTTTGTTATTAAAATATTGATCATAATTTTTTGACTATTATTGAGTCAACTTTCATGGTCTGCATAAGCTAGGGAAGAATGTGGACATGAATTGTTTTCAATAATTTGAATTGTATAACAAACTACCATTCCAAAGAGCCCAAGAACGTTTAAAAATATTAATTTTTTCCAGAGAAATAAAAATAGTAAAAACATTGAAAATTGGGTTTTTCTTAGATATCTAATTCAAAAATTAACATATTCTCTTTGTCAAGGTATCATTTATTTCAGAATTTTATTGTCTATTAAAAAATAAAAAGGGAAAAATTTTAGTTTTAATATTTTTGAAGATTTAAACTATTTTATAGTCATTGAAAAAGCAGAGATCGCACAATTTCTGACGGTAGTGTACCTGACAGAAAAAGGTATCATTCATGAGTTACCGTCTCCATATGTTCATGAGCAAAATTTTAGAGCTGAAAGAGAGATTAGAACAATTGACTAAAGTGCGAGAACAATGTTATTAAGAAAAAGGTCGATAGCAAACTTTGGCCAGAGGCAATTAATGTGACGTATGTTGTATTCTCTAAAGGGTGATTTAAAGGCGTATTTGAAATCAGCACTGCAAGGGGCGCTGACGCATACAATATTGGTCATGTATTGAAAATCTTTGTAGCTGATAGTGTAACGTGACATTTTTAACACGTCACACCGAGTTTAGTTGTTAGCGAAATATTTTATTTAAATTTTTTTGTATTATTAATATTTTATGGTCTTAGCGTAAAATTTGAATTTAAATGTTTTTCGTGCCATTGATCTAACCTCAACTGAGTTCACCCGCGCGCAACGCAGCTCAGGTTAGCTCACCTCTTCTCGACCTCACGGTTACGGCGTCCGGCGAAAAACGTGGTCAAGCACTCTTTCTCGGACCTAGCGACGTGCTAGCAATTATCTTAAGATTGTAAAAAATTGTAAATCATAAGGAAAACGAATACGACTATTCAAAGATTATTTCCCAATTCTACAACCATCGAATTATTTACGAAAGATTTATAAACCATGTGAGTAATATTACATTCTAACGATCGTTTAATATGTGGGAGCTTTCGTCTTATCCTTTTTGTATAACTTCGTCCAAGTTTCAATATTAAAAGGTGAAGACTCGCACATAGTTATATTATATCTCTCTCGCCATTTTCGGACCTAGTGTCCAATGATATAAATTATGTATGTGATTATTGTTTCTTTTATTATGTTAGCGAAAATTAAAATATCGTTAATCAAGGGCAAATTGATTTTAATTGCTAAATGTTAATCTTGTTGTGTAAAAAATTTATAATGATATTTGCGTGAAATTAGTGCGGGTAATATAGCGTGACTCGAATCCCAGTCCCTATTTTTTTTGCATATAGAATATATTCAAGAATCATCGCAGATTATAGAAAAAAAGGAAATGTCTCAATATTAAAATTAATACAAATTGAACTATACAAATAAAATTTTTGTTAAACATGAAATTCTATATATGGGCAAATCCACGAAACTTTTAACTTTTGTAATTCTCGAATCGAACACTTAAAAATCTGAATTATTTTTAATTAAAACTTTCGGTATCATTTTTTTTTGCTAAATTATATACAAAGGAACATTTATATACAGTATTAGAACAAAATATTTATTTGACAATTAGTTTTATAAGTTATAAAGTGAAAAAATGCTTAAATTTCATTTGAATTTCTTGAAAAAGTTTATATTCTTAACGTTTCTATTTTTGTGGCGTGTAAAATATCACTTCAGCTACTATGGAAATATCTAACAAACATAATTTTTCAAAAAATTTTCACTGTCCGATTAGTGTGCCACCACTAAAACTAAAAATACCAAAGGTTTGATTGAGTGATAACACTTTTTAAAGAAATTTAATTGAACGTCTTCTTATGAAAATATCTATTACGGTGCTGGATAAAAATAAAAGTTCTATGCATTTATTAAAAGTTGATGAAAAAACAAAAATTTTAAGACCTTCTTAAATGATGTGCCTCTAATTGTATTCCTGTGGCAACAATTTAAAGATGATAATAAAAATCGTGATTTCATTTAAATTTATACATTTTTGAAAGGCACAACTGCATTTTTGCTTTAAACAGGTCAATCTATGGTGTGATCGAAACATTTTCATACATATATTTGAACACAAAAACGCCGCTTGAGGATTTTGAGTGAAATAAATTTTATTAAGTTAAGAATATGCTGAAACCACTTTTTTGGAGTCCTTACCCCCTCTTTTCTCAAAATCCTGACGTGCTAAGCAAATTTGGGTGCCAGAATCGTGTTCAGAGGACGAAATTACTTTAAAAACCACTCTGATATAAAAAGAAAGTTGATTTTTTCAATTTTATATGTAATTTATTAACATTAAAGAGATTAAATAACATGAGATTAACATTGACGGCGTGAGCTAAAAATTAATCACACATAGTAATTTGTAGTGCTAAAATGTACTTAAACGGAGACGACTGCTTTTCCCCGAAAGGACAAAACGTCGAATAGCAAAACGTCGAATGGACAAAATATCGAAAAGCCAAACTGTCGAATGGACAAATTGTCGAAAAGTCAAGACATCGCATAGTCAAAACGTCGAATAGTCAAAACGTCGAAAGGTCAAAATGTCGAAAAGTCAAACAGACAAAATGTCGAATAGCCAAAACTTCGAACAGACAAAATATAGAATTGCCAAAATGTCGAATTATCAAAATGTCAAATAGTCAAGAAGTCGAATGATTGAAACGTCGAATAGCCAAGACGTCGAACGGACAAAATGTCGGAAAGCCAAAACGTCGAACGGACAAAATGTCAAATAGCCAAAACATTGAACGGACAAAATATCGAATCGTTAAGACGTCGAACGGACAAAATGTCGAATAGCCAAAATGTCGAAAAGCCAAGACGTCAAATGGTCAAAATGTCGAATGGACAAAATATCGAGACGTTATTTTGCTCTGAGTTTCCCTTCTATATAATGCACACTAGTTTAACTGTTTAAAATTAAAAGTTTGTATTATTATTATTATTATACTATAATAATTACTTTACTATTATTATTATTATTATTATTATTATTATTATTATAAAAAAATGTAAAAAAAACATTAAAAACAATACAACTAGCGATATCTATCGAGTGTTAAACGCAACACAAACTAGTGCATTATATAGAAGGGAAACTCAGAGCAAAATAACGTCTCGATATTTTGTCCATTCGACATTTTGACCTTTTGACGTCTTGACTTTTCGACATTTAGTCCATTCGCAGTTTTGACTTTTCGACATTTCGGCTATTCGACGTTTTGGCTATTCGACGTCTTGACTTTTCGACATTTTGTCCATTCGACAGTTTGGCTTTTCGATATTTTGTCCATTCGACGTTTTGCTATTGGACGTTTTGTCCATTCGACATTTTGTCCTTTCGGGGAAAAGCAGTCGTCTCCTTAAACGTGTATACAAAGTGACATCAATGTGCCTGCAAATTTTGAAAAAAGAATTTTTTTTCTTAAAAGTTAAAAGTTAAGAGTTTCGTGGATTTGCCCATATAAACATTTTTTTGCTTGCATTCTGAACAATAAACCCATCCCAAAGCTCAAAAACCAATTTCTTTCGCTAGCCGATATCAAATATTGCCGGCATAATGATTCGAGGGTTTTGAATTAAAATCATTGAGACTATTTATTTTTTTAAATAATGTTCATTGAATAATTATTAAAAATTT